CAGATATTCTTCACTTGAAAGAATGCATTAGTATTTGTGAAGGTTTATCTTAAAAGTAAAGATCGTCAGCATCTTAACGTGGTAACAGCAGCTGGCGTCCACTGTTCTGTTTGGGCCAGAGTCACCAGGGTCTGTGCTTTTCCAGCATTACTGCACTAAGCCCTGAAAACAAGACTTGAGTTAGGTAGGGAGAAACCAAGATTCGGGGAGGTTACTCGCCCTACCTAAGGTCACAGTGGGCACACAGCAGAGAGCAATTCAAATCCAGGCGGCTGAAGCCTGCAATCTAATTCGTGTGGCTGCTCTCCATTACCTGGATTTTCAGTATTATAGCAGAAAATGACCAATAAACCATACTGGAATCAAAATGAATACCCCTCACACACAAATTAGTCTAACTTAATATTATTCTAAGTGAATTCCACTCAAGCATTGGAAGATCAGGTTGTAAAATTTGGTGACCTGTAATTAAGAGGTCCTACTCCTAAGTTTTAAAAAAGTTTATGAAAATCGTTGATATATACTAAAGAATATATGTAAGTTAGCAGCAATAACTAAAAACCCGAGCATCAACACCCCAAATCCAGGACAGTGGGCACTTCTAGTGGGGAGGGCAGAGAAATGAGATTGGGGTTGGGGGCATGACTTCTAATAATTTCCCATCACACGTGGGATCTTCCCGGACCAGGGACTGAACGCGTGTCCCCTGCACTGGCAGGTGGATTCTTAACCACTGAGCCACCAGGGGAAGTCCCTTTTTTAAAAAAATCAGTCTGTAGTCCATGGCGGTTTATCTATTCTGAAGGCTGGTCATTTGTCTGTTATCTTTGAAAATGTTTCCTCCCAATCTGTCACATGCCTTTTTAATCTTGTATCTTTTATCATGAAAAATTTATTTTTAAAATGTATTCCAAATTACCAATCTTTTTGAGTTTGAGCATTTTTTTATCTTAAGAGAGTCTCCTATATACAACGACTTTTCTGTGGACATAGACTTCAGACAAACCCATACTACTGCATTTAACTTCTGTAGATGGATGTTAAAATGGGGGTCTTTTGCCTGACACCCCAAAACCATGTCAATTGCTCACGTGCCAAAGGACAACGCTAGACCTAGCAGCACGTGCAAAGGAATTGTTTGAAAATACACTTTGCATCCCTTAGTCCAAGAGATACCTTTCAAAGAAAGGGGTTGACAAGAAATCGTGGGGAAGGATTTCTTCAAAGAAAGTTATGGATGTGCCAGCCCCACTCCACGCCTCCAGTGGGAAGGAGGCAGAGCTGCTGCCCCTTTTCTGGAGCTAATGAATGAGGCTGTAGCAGAACAACTGGAAAGAATCAAGAGTGACACTGCCATCAGGGGACCGGGGTATGAAAAATGTCCATGAGCTGAAAAGAAACAGCCCATGACAGGGTTGTGCGAGAGATGTAACTGCATTCCCACTGATGGTAGGTCAGAGGTCGAAGGGCTGTGGTACCCTGAGACCAGGTGTGGAACCAGCAGCAGGATTTTCTGAAATGGAGATATACACAGAGGTCTTCTGCCAAGAGTGTGGGAGAGGCCAGACTGGTACCATCGAATGGCCAATCTTCAACCCTGGAGGGGCCAGAGTCGACCTAAGTGCAAGGTGAGGGGGGGTCAGAGAAGCAGCCACCTTCCCCATCCCACTGTCGCCTAGAGGCAGACCCAGGAAGGCAGGGTGAAGCTTCAATTTGAATGAAATTTGGAGTTTTCATGAGACTGGACCCATATCCTTTTAATAAAATGAGACTATTTTTGTGATCAAAGTGACTAGAGGAATGTTTTAAAAAATATTTTAAAGGAACCAGATATTAACTGGGAGCAAGAGCAATCTACCATAAATTTATTCCAAGTGCAAGGAATGAACCAGCCCACAGAGCGGGCTTGACCAGGCAGCGGGGAAAGAGCTTGTTCCTTATTCCCACTGTTCAGGACACTGACTTTGCTCCCAGCATTTCATGGAGCTGCAGCATCAATTTGCCACCTTCGTGAGAGTTTAACACCACAGGTCTTGAGTCTTGTGGTCTGTACTGATCTAAGTCACTGGTGTTACACAGTTATACATAATGGACCATGATCTTTATATATTAAAAATAATATAAAAAGAGATATCTGTACACTCATATTCATAGCAGCATTATTCACAACAGCCAAAAGGTGGAAGAAACCCAAGTGTCCATGGACAGATGAATGGATAAACAAAATGCGTTACATACATACGATGGAGTATTGTTCAGCCTTAATTCATCAGTAAGGGAGTTCTGACAAATGCTACAACATGGATGAACTTTGAGGACGTTATGCTAAGTGAAATAAGCCAGTCCCAAAAGGAAAAGTACTGGTATGAATTACCTAGAATAGTGATGTTCAGAGACTGAAAGTAGAAGGGTGGTTTTAGGCACTGGAAAGACGGGGAGTTGTTGTTCAACGGATACAGAGTTTTAGTTTTGCAAGATGAAGAGTCCTGGGGATGAATGATGGTGACGGTTGCACGACAATGTGAAAGCATTTCACTGAGTGGTACATTTAAAAATGGTTAAAATGGGAACTCCGTGGTGCTCCAGTGGGTAAGACTCCATGCCCCCAACACAGGGAGCCCCAGTTTGATCCCTGGTCGGGGAACTAGATCCCGCATGCATGCCACAACTAAGAGTTCGCATGTCACAACTAAAGATCCCGCACGCCACAACTAACACCCAGCGCAGCCAAAATAAATAAATAAATAAATATTTAAAAATTGGTTAAAATGATAAATTTTATGTTCTAAGCATTTTGCCACAGTTGAAAATAAAAACTAAATAAAAAAGGAAATTTAACCTCCATTAGTCATGTATCAATAATGGAGTGAATAATGAGAAGTGGCTAAGAATTATCCTGTCTTACCATGTGTCAGGTGCCATGCCAGGACTTATACATGGTCTCATTTAATCCTCATTTCAAACCTATGAGGCAAGTCCTATTAAAATCCTTACTTTACAGATAAGGAAACTGAGGCACAGAAGGGTTACCTTGCCTAAAGTTACACAACTTGAAAGGAGTTGACAGAGATACTCTGATTCTAGAACTAGGCTTCTAAACCTCTGGCAGTGGGCAGATTTCACTGTCACTGAACTATCTCCCATTTACAGCCTCTTAGACTACAAGAGATCATAGAAACAATTCACATAATTATTGACATTTGCATAGCTCTCTAGGTTTAAAAGCACCTTCTCTTTTGATATTACTCATTAAAATACTGCAGCACAGGTATTCTCCTTTTATCAGAGAGGACACAGAGACTAGAGAAGTTAAGTAGATGGCTTCAAGTCATGTTACCAGGCAGGGTTCCGATTCCACAGCTTCTAACTCTGGGCCCATGGCTAACTATCCAGATCCAATTCCTTGTCTAGTCCAGCTTCTCATTTTTCAGATGAGACTGCCTACAAGGGACACGCCCAAAGATGCTAATGGCTTGTCCAAGGTCACACAGAGAGCTAGTATGTTCTGTGTGCATCACCAGCATATGCCTTTAAAAATCCTTAGCCATGACAACACATATTCTATAAATATGTGTTGATAAAGGAAGGATTGGTACAGAGGCAGAGAGCTCTGTCAGCATAAAATAGAGTGCTTTTTTCTAGAAACTCTAATTTGTGGAGTTGATGCTTTAGAACCTACACTTCACGTAAGCGTCCAACTTTTCAGTGCCTGCCCTTACTCAACCTCCTCCATTAGCTCTACAATTATGCTGTTATCAATTGAGCAAATCCACTTAGACAGCAGGTCTAGCTGCTCTCATAGCGGATTTCGTACCCAAGCAGCAAAGTACGCGAGAGCTGTATAATGCAGACCTTTGAGAAATGAACTACATAAATCCTCATTTGATCCTGACTGTATGTCTATAAGGCATTCTTAAAACAGACTCAGCCACCCTGAGTGATCTTTTTAACGGCCGAGTGTAAAAATGCAGAGCTAAGATCTTCTGTCCAGCAGAATCTTTTCATGTAAAATAACTCACTTCTGAGATACAAGGCTAACGATCAGTGTGAAAAAAGCAATTGCTAGACTTGATTAAAGACACTCACGCAGTGAATGTAAATTACTTGTTGGCATGTGAAAATCTGCCAGTGTAATGCCTCAGATGTCAAATTAAGGCGATATTCCATGAATCCTTGTTTACCTTTTTCTTTCTTACAACCTTAATATTGTAGGTGGGATTGGGGCTGGCACGGACTGAGCAAACTCTATGGCAGTGTCCCCCTCTTTATGGCTGGAATGTCCAACAAAACCCAGAGAGAAGCAGGTACCACAAAGAAGAGCTTCACAGCAGCAAAACATCTGAGGTCTTACTAATAAAAATGTCCTAGTCTAATGGTTGGGAATCTCCCCTCCATTAGGCCACAAAACCACACTCAGATTCAACGAAGAGCCGACTGATTTCATTTCAAGTAATCAGTATTACTATAACTGCTAGTATTGGCTAACATTTAATGAGCATTTTCTCCTGTTAAATTACACACACAGTATGCTCCAGCAGGGCAGGACTAGGTCTGCTTTGCTCACTGCGCCGCCACAGCTCTGAGTTGCATGCCTTGTATGTGTTAGGTTGTCAATAAATATTTGTTGAATGAATAAATAATCTCATTTGGTTTTCAAAATAACCCTATAAGGTTTGATACAATATTGTTATCACCATTTCTCAGCTGAGAAAGCTGCGGCTCAGAGGTCATTACACTGTACCCAAAGTCACGTGGTCAGCAAGTGTCAGAGCTTATATTCTAAACCACATGCACCTGACATCAAAATCTATGGTTCGACCACAATGTCATGTCACTAGTACAGCCCAGACCTTAGGGTTTTTCCAGTACTGAGGCCATCTCTGAAAGGTGGGCTTACAAGAATATATTTCAAGTCAGAATGGATCTCACTCTGTTCCAGCCATCACCTTTCAGATTTCTTCAATATTCTTCAAAAACTACATTTAAAAAAAGTGACTTACCTACATATCCTTCTTCACCAACCAGTTTCAGGGCAATTTTATCAGCCAACACTGAAGAGTTGCCGTGGGCAATGTTGGCAAAGGGGCCAGCGTGCACAAATACAGGCGTCCCCTGTGGAAACGGAAGAGCAAATTTTAAAAAGCTATGAGAGGGGCTTCCTTGGTGGCGCAGTGGTTGAGAGTCCGCCTGCCGATGCAGGGGGCGCGAGTTCGTGCCCGGGTCCGAGAAGATCCCACATGCCGCGGAGCGGCTGGGCCCGTGAGCCATGGCCGCTGAGCCTGCGCGTCCGGAGCCTGTGCTCCGCAACGGGAGAGGCCACAACAGTGAGAGGCCCGCAAACCGAAAAAAAAAAAAAAAAAAAAAAAAAGCTATGAGAATCAGTTATTTCCTACTATAATTTTGATAAGCCACTGTTTTAGCTGTCTCAGTGACCATGAGATAAACCTTATTTCATATTATTCTGCATTATATTGTTACAAAGAATGGAATTAAACCTTGATGGTCTAAGAGGCTTGTTTAAATTGTTTATCCCCATTAAGAAATTAACCAATTCAAGAAAAATCTAATCATAAAATCAACACAATAAATGAATCGTGGGAATCATGGCAGGGCAAGTACATTTTATTATAAGCCATTTTTATATTTACAATAATAATCTTATTCTGATTTTTAAAAACTCTTTCTCATTGTTCCTCTTACCTGTTAATTGTTTAAGTTAAGTCACCTGGTAATTATTAAAACAAAAGAAAAATTTCACCCATACTAAAATGTTAGTTACTAAAAAGGCAAAAAAAAACAAATAAGGGAATTCTCAAAAACTTTAGATTTTAATTATTTAAACAAAATCTGTCATATAGTCATTTCTTACTTTCATTTCTACACTTCTCTTTTGTCAAAGAGAAGAGACTGTAGCCCTTGCTAAAAAAAAATCACCCACGTGCACTAAATTGTTTAGGCTGTATTCAGAGTCAGCTGGGGCCACTGAGGTCTGTGTGTGTGAACCCTGGCTCCACCTGTGAAAATACAGGTTGCCCTTTCACTGACACGGGGGAGGCAGGGAGTGATGCAGGGGATGGGGCCTGGGAGCCATGGAAAGTTCCCATGAACCAGGATGGGCTGTGGGCGAGCATGTTTCAAAGCTGAGAGAGGTGAACAAAAGCAGGAAGAAAGGCAGTGAAAGAAAAATCGTCACTGAGAGTGAGAAGGAATTGATCAAATCCACTCACAGTTTTCTATTTACTTTTCCCCCCAGAGTCCTCAGGAGGGACAGTCACAGAGTACGGATACGGCCATACAAATGTCTGTGGAAATAATACACTGGGATATGTGTTTATGGAAATGCATACATGCATGTTTACTGTCTAGATCTCCACCTGTCTATCCATCTATAGTTTCTCACTTCTACGCAGATAAGCCTTTTAAGTGCTTTGACGGAAACACTGTTTAAAAGGTATTAACGCCTCCATCACCTCCTAGCCTTTGCCAGTCCTAGGACATGGCTGCCTGTGGAAAGCTAGTAGCGGGGCTAATGAGAAAAGTTTAAAGAGACAAGGTCACAGGCTCCAGCCCTGGGTGGGCGGCTGGCTTCACTCCCCTATACCCTGCAACCCTCATCCTGGCCATCTGTCTGAGAAGCACCTGGCACCAGTCTCCAGGGCGACAGGTGACAGGGTATGGCTGCATCAGCATAAACACACTGCTATTCCTGGGACAGCCACTCCAGGGACTAGACGGGCAGCATTTAATTTTAATTTAAAATGAAATTAAAAGCCACACAGATTAATCACGAAAGCAGTATCAGAGCCCTGGTTTTTGAACTCCCAGTACGTGGTTTAAATAGAAAAATTCTTAGACCACCATTGTTGGACATTCAGACACAGACACAAATACACACTCAACTGGTATTTGTACTTATATGATGCAGTATACGGCGTTAATACTTTGTTTAAGAAATTCTGTCACTAACCCAAAGACATAAAAATATCTATCGCGAGTTCAATATTTTATTTTATATGCAGAACATTTAGGAAAGTAATAACAGGAAATATCTTGGTTTCTATGATGACAAAGCTGTGAATATTCTCCGTAATGGACTTTTTGAACATTTCGTAAGATTAAAACTTCAGCTGCTCTTTGCTGACCAGAGATCTAAAAGAGCATTACCCAAAGGACTTTCTGCAGGGCCCTGAACGTTCTGTACCTGCGCTATCTGATGGAACAGCCGCCATCCACGGGGGGCTGCGCAGCACTTAAAGTGCGGCTGGTGAAAATAAATAAAGAAGTAGAAATAGAACTAGTGTGACTGCAGAACTGAATTTTAAACTTTATTTAATTTAAACTAATTTAGATGGAGATAACCACACGTGGCCAGGGGCTCCCATATTGGACAAAAGACTGCAGCAAGTGGGTGTTTTCCTCAACACTGCATATGGTTAACCCGTGGTAAAACGTTAAGATCTCTTATTCTCTCTCTTCCACAGGGACATTCTCAAGCTTATATGTATACAAAAATCACCCAGGGTATCCAAGCCTTATCCGCCAGACATTCTAGAGTTCACTTTGTCTGGGGGAGAGCTTGGCATCAGCATCTTTAAATCTTTCCATGAGATTCTACCGTGCAGCCAGGGTTGAGAACTGCTGGTCTCCGGGCACCTTGCAGCAATGGAACCCTTGATAACCTCCTCTGGGACTAACAGTCAAGTGTGTTCAAACATGAGCACTAAAGCAGAATCTGTACATTAACCAGTGATTTTTAGATCATTTGTTGATTTAGGCTCCTACTGCCACTGATTAGCCAGGCTAATGTGGAATGAATATTCAGGACGCAGGTAGCAGAGCCCATACATGCAGATATTTTAACGGAATGCTGTGTTCATTTTTCAAACAATGGCCACTGCCTGTGACATCAAAATGACGTCACAAATGTGAGCACAGTAAGAACTGCTTAGGGGCAGTCCAACCCAGTAATTCATCCAACTAACAAGAAACTAGCCTTTTAGAGTGGGATTATGTATTAAAGGTGGGAGTAATTTTTAATCTAAGAAAGATAATTATTTAAAACAGTAAGCTGATCATCCCTAATGATGATAATAATGTGTTCATTTTTGAGGGGGAAGTGTTATGATGAAGCAATATCACGTCTCTTTATACATTTTTTCTCATTCATTTAGTTATTTATCTAACATGTATATATTTTTAGGAGCAATGGAGTAAAAACAATAAATATCCATTTAATTCTTCAGCAAGTGTTTACTGAGCACTTAATATGTGTGAGGAACTTTCTAGGAGCTGGCGATACGATGGTGAACAAGATGGAAAAAGTCCTGCTCTCATCCTGGTGGGAGGAGAAATACAGTAAACAAAAAAAGAAATAGGGGCTCTCAGGTGACATCTTGTGCCATGTAGAAAATGACAAGAAGGTGGGTTTTGGGCTTGAACCACTGACCAGGTTTGGGGGATGGAACGAGTTGGGAGGAGGTAGGAGGTGGATAGGAATCAAAGATGCTTTTTTTATGCATAACTTTGAAATGCCTTTTACCCACCCTAGCAGCTCGTGGTAACCACGCCTACAAGTCTGAAATGCTGAGGTCAGGAGGTTCAGAGCCAGAGTTCAAGGGTTATTACACGGCTGATACTGCAGGAAAGCGCAGCTGGAGAAGTGAGAAGAAGGCAGCGAAAGAGACGGAGGAGAGGCCACCGAGAAGGTCCAGGAAAGCAAGGCGTCAAAAGCAAGAGAGCAAGCGCTCCGGAAGGAAAAGCATCGGCTGTCTCAGCCCCCACTGAGCAAGCCATATACAAAAAACGGCCTTCTTAAAAAAGTGGAGGACAGCACACTTTCCTAGAAAACATTTCTCAGCATTACCCTGTGCGTGTGTGTGTGTGTGTGTGTGTGTGTGTGCGCGCGTACGTTTGAGTTTATTGAATACTCTGCGTTTTGCTTGGAGAGAAAAAAGACAACAAACCTAAACTCCCCAAACTTAAGGATTATGAGAAGCTGAGTCAAAAAAAAAAAAAAAGCAACATAGAAAACATCATGTAAACGTGATAAACGTGGCTACACAAGTTACTGAGATATCAGACACTGAGTTTCTAAGTTTCTCCTCTGCCCAATTAGTACTTAATTAGCCAAGATATGATCATATCAAAGAACTTTGAGCTTTTGGGGGGATGACCAAGCAGTTATTCTGATGCTCCTCATGGGCTCATATTCGCTGGAAGTGCTCACGTGTGGGAACACACAAGCAATCTAGTTAGTGCGACTCTGTCGACCATGTCTATGAAAAGAAAATCACTTACTTCTAGGGTCTGCATCAGATTTGGTTTTATCGCGTCTTTCATCAGAACAGTCAAAGCACCTGTCACCCCCTGAAGGAAAGGGAGAAAAAAGCCCACTTATTTAGATTATTGACAAAAGATCGTTCGCACAAGGGTCTCTCAGCCTTTTCTCACCAGCCTACCTCCTACATGGGCATCCCCACCGGCCACCGTCACCTCTGAGCTACAGGTGACACAGTGCTCTTGCCTCTGTCTATCTCTCCTCCACCTGAATGGATGCCAACCCTTCTAAGATGTGATGGGGAAGTAGTAGTCATCGCATTTTTAAAAAAAACCTCCTTTGACGGAAATAAGAGGCTTGCCATACCTTTCAATTTGCAACTATGCACATCATGTTTCATTACCAGAGATTACACTGTTGCCCCAAGAAATCAGGTGAAGAACAAAAACAAGGCTCGTTACACAGAGGGAACGAAGAAAGGGAAAGGGACGTGTCTAAAGGCACCTATTCTGGTTTCCCACCCTCTCTCGACCTCTCATCCCACAGATAACCGAAGGCACTCAGAACACGGTTGCATTGGAAAGGCTCCTCCTTTTCTGTCTCTCGTGCTATGTCTGCCTAGAATGGAGCTGATGCCACTTGTACATAGATTGTGGCTGCTTCCTTCCAATCCTATAATGCTTGAGTTGGGCTCTGTCAAAGCTCCCTATCCCATTCCTGGAAAAGAAGAGGTGGAGGAAGAGACACAGCAGGGATGAAGTCGGAGAGCTACTGGGGAAATTATTTGTGCCAAAGAAGGCCACAAAGGGAAGCTTTTTTAAAAAAAACTCCCTTCCACCTTTTCTAAAGACACTGGGCAAGTATCTTTCAACAGATTAGTCAGTTATGGGAAGGCCATAATACGAGCAAATGCATGTGAACATGGCCCTGAAAAAATAAATGTGGCATGCAACAGATCCTAACAGATAAGGTGGTAGAATCTAGAGACTCTTCAGCTCTCCAAGGTGCATTCGTTTATTACTTTCTCCTTCTACCTCCATCACCAACAATGTTAAGTGTTTCTCTTATATGATCAGTTTCTACTTTTGTATTTTTATAATATTTAATCATTGAAGATTTCTTTAAAAATCAAATTTACTTTCTACTTTATTGCAGAAAATAAACCTTGCAAGAACTGTAACCTTCCTATTATAACTATATAAAGAAATCAGGTACCTTCTGCAAACAAGAAACACAAAAGAAAACTAAAAAGAGTTAACTTTGGGTTATTTTGGTCCAGATCCAAGAGTTTTATCACAAACCAAAGGAGTAACTTTAGGGAAATATTTGTGGATAAAGTTTCAAACTACTCCTGGCACATACTTATTGATACCTAAGGTTAAGAGGATACAGATAAATATTTATACAGAAACTATTATATGCAAGTTTAGAGACAAATGTTGAGATGTCGATCATTTTTAAAAAGCAGTACTTTTACAGCAACCTGGGTTTGAGTTTTCTCTTTAAGCCTTATACTAAGCATTCCATGGGCTGCTGATATAAATGTATCTATTTAATCTACTTGACAAGACTCGAGTCATTCAGATTCATCTCTTCAAAAGAGCCAAAAGGTAACCAAGACATTTTGGCAAAGGTTTCAAATTATATCCCAAGGCCCTGGAATTAATAAAATATTAATTTGCCTGTCTCCTTTTCACAACTGTTTTTCAATCGTCAGCGTGCACATAAGATTCCATTATGGTCCGTGACTCGATACGTGGGAAAGTAAGCTTAAATTTAGAGTAATGGCTGCCTACGTTATACTAAGTACTATGTGCTTATAAACACGTACAAGCAAATGAAATAGCTACACCATTGATGGGGATTAACAGTAAAGCTGGTTATTCAAAAAAGGAAAAAAGAGGGCTTCCCTGGTGGCGCAGTGGTTGAGAGTCCGCCTGCCGATGCAGGGGACATGGGTTCGTGCCCCGGTCCGGGAAGATCCCACACGCCGCGGAGCGGCTGGGCCCGTGAGCCATGGCCACTGGTCCTGCGCGTCCGGAGCCTGTGCTCCGTAACGGGAGAGGCCACAACAGTGAGAGGCCCGCGTACAGCAAAAAAAAAAAAAAAAAAAGGAAAAAAGATTAGCACTCCAAATTACAAAAAGCACTAAGGAAGGTGGTGGTGTGCCGTGAAAGCTTTGTAAGAAGCATCATTCCACGCAACAGAAAGCTACATGAGTAAGAATGATTAAGGCGGAGCTCTGTTTTTATAATGTGAAACCCAAGTCGAAGGCACGAATTTAAACAACCAGGGTGCCCAGGGAGCAGGCTGGAGCCAAAAATGTGCCATTTTTAACTTAACCTTCCCTTCCATGAAGGTGGAGTCACTTCTTATTCCTTGGAAAGGTGATTTGCCCTCAATTTAAAGCCAGCATAGATCACACTTTTTTAAAAAAGCCACAGGCTGCAGGAGGATGACGGCACCCCAGGCAGAGCAGAGATCAGGATTGGAAAGGATCGTGAAAAGCTCACGAAATAGGTTTCATATGCTTTGGTTGCAGTCAGGCACAAGCATGTTATAAATGCCTGTGAGAACATGATGAAGTTGTAAGACAAACGGGATGGTGAGCAGGAAAACGTGTGCAGAAATTCTCTGAATTCCCATTATTACCCAGTGATGTAAGAGGAAGAAAACCTTCTCCTGATCACAAAAGAACAGGGGCAGCGAGCTCTCTGGAGCTTCTGAGATGGACGTACCAAATCACCTGTCGTCACGGGCTGCCCGTTTCTGTCACTGGCCACCACCATTCTGCCCAGCCGCTCCTTCATGTCCGTGAGGCTGTCAGTCAGAGCCAGCACTGCCATGACCTCACTGGCCACGGCGATGTCAAACTGCGCCTGAAAAGGCAAAGCCAAGGTACTGGTCAGCTGCAGCTCCACCTGGATGGCCATTTGCATGGGGATCTGTATTGCAGCAATTCCTGCAGGCCCAGGGTTTAACCCTCGATGGGCCGTTCTCAGAGGCACAAGTTTCCAGCACATGCCCGGTCCTGGGATCGGTGCTCCCTAGGGAGGCCACCCCTTCCTCCATTTGCTGTCTGAGCACGGCCTGGCTGGGCCCCCCGTTACGGGAGCTCACGGGGCTATGAGATTTGCTTCTGTAGCACGTTTCAGCCTCGGAATTATTAATGTGATGATGTGATGGACGCACGGCTCCACCAGCGGACTGTAAGTGCCATGAAGGCAGGGACCATTTGGGGAGGGATTGCTCCTGAGTCCCCAGCTTGGAGGCCTGCGTGTGAAATGCGGGAGGCATTCAATGCATATCAGCAAAATAAAGGAAGAGTCTGCTGCCTACCCCTGCTGTTATTTACGTGTGTCAAGGGGGATGCATGTGTCTGCCCAGCAAAGAGGTAAGCAGCAGATCGTGAAAAAAGAGGGTTCTGAGGCCAGTCTCCCAGACTTAGAGCTCAGCACAGTGGTGAGGAGACCCTCGACTTCTGTCATCCCCCCAGTCACAAGGTGGCATGGAATCAGTTCTGAGCTGTCCACGGAGGCTTGGCCACATCAGATCATGAATTGTCCAGCCATGAATGCTGGAGAGCGGCTACTTCCTGAGAAATGTCCCTGGCCTTCCTATTCCTGCTCCTGGCTCTGATTCCAAGCTGGACACAATCCAACAGGAACCAAAAGAGACACAAGGACCCCGCATATCCTCCCCCTCCGAATTCAGCCACCAGACAAAACCGCTTCATTACACTCCTTCCCAAGGGGCATATGAGCCAGACAAGTTCAGTCTTACATAGAAAATGGCTGTGCCCTGGAGGGATCACCTCAGGAGATATTTTATTGTCCATTTCCGGCACCCACAAGAAAGGAAGTGAAGGAAAGAAGGAGCTTTCTGGCTACTTCCTGGTTGAGATTTCAGCAGTCACTGATTTACTGAAAACACATTACCTGAAAGGCAAATGCACCTATACTCAACTATTACATTCTCAATATAACCCATTCCAAATCTCAGTGGTCTTTCATTGTATGAAATTTAGGGTTTTCTACACCACGGTTCCATTAAAAACAGTACATATGAAAAGTAACTAAAAATGATGAGACTTTTAACCTGAGGCTAGAAATATTCTTAAAATATTAACTGTGTGGGCTTCCCTGGTGGTGCAGTGGTTGAGAATCAGCCTGCCGATGCAGGGGACACGGGTTCGTGCCCCAGTCCGGGAAGATCCCACACGCCGCGGAGCGGCTGGGCCCGTGAGCCATGGCCGCTTAGCCTGCGCGTCCGGAGCCTGTGCTCCGCAACGGGAGAGACCACAACAGTGAGAGGCCCGCGTACCGAAAAAAAAAAAAAAAAAAAAACTAACTGTGTAAGTGATAAGTGGAATGTATAACACCCATAAGTTCTTCATTTGTAATCGTTACAATTTCAAAATTTTGCATCTCTAGCAACATCAAAATGAAACAAGGATCGATATAAATATAGTTACTCATTTTATGCCTGAATGGTACAGCTAACAGAGGGCTGCTCACTTTTGTTTTGCAAATAAAATATTTCTAAATCACATAAAGGTGTAGATGAGATTATTCTTATTGTTTATCACAGATTTAGACAAAAGACAAAAAGCCATGTTGACAAGGATGCGAATCCCCTTTGACTCTGCAAGTATGGATCTGTTTATCATGTGTATGTTACAGCTTATTTATGATAGCCCAACACTGCAAACACCCTAAGTGTCCATTAACAGCGAAATGGTTGTATCTATTATGGTACATCTACAAGATGTGGTATTATATAGGCATTAAAGAAATGATGATATAGGGAATTCCCTGGCGGTACAGTGATTTGGACTCCGCACGTTCACTGCCAAGGGCCCGGGTTCGATTCCTGGTTGGGGAACTAAGATCCCACAAGCTGTGTGGTCCCACAAACCAAAAAAGATGATATAGATCTACATTTACTGACATAAAAAGATGTTCTCAATAGTTTTAAGATTAAAAAAAGCAGTTAAACCTCTTAGATATAATCCCTTCTTACTTAATAATATGTATGCATAAAGCAATATAGAACATAACCTTGGACAAGTCACTTAACACAATATGGCAACTTTTCTCATTTGCAAACCAGATTTACAAACTAAATGTGCTCACGTATGTAATGGGCCTACCAATAAAAGGCACAAAATAGGCATTCAGATCACAGCAATTGTTAATCCTGCATCTCTCTAGTGCCAAGATAGAGTACAAAAATACGCAGAGAAAATGTGAAGGAACTTCCTTACTATTCCTCTTCTGAAATCAGAAGTCACTGATTTCAGAAGGTGAACAGCTTTCCAGCTTCCATGTTATGTGTTTTTACACATATAAACACGTATGCTGGCTTTTTCTTAACATAAACTGGATTACGCTACACTCATTTTAGTCCAAATTCTTTTAACATGTGTTCTTTTTCTTTTCCAAGATTTGATTTTATTATTTTTTTGAATTTTATTTTATTTTTTATACAGCAGGTTCTTATTAGTTATCTATTTTATGCATATCAGTGTATACATGTCAATCCCAATCTCCCAGTTCATCCCATCACCCCCGCCACCACCACCACTTTCCCCCCATGGTGTCCATACGTTTGTATGGACAAACCTTCAATTTCACAATCTGTATGAGAGCTCTATGTCACTCCCCCGATATACACTTTATCATTTTCAATGGCTACCTGTTTCTGTTGTGCAAAAGGATACACCAAATATATGTAATCACCCCTAACGATGAACACTGGATTGCTTCCAATGTTCACCATTACAAAAAATGCTGCAATTAGTATCCTATATATAGATTTTTTTTTTGTACCTGAGTAACTATTCCCCCCTTTTTAAGAAAAATCTGTAGTCCTGAAGTTAGAACTGTTCTGACATTTCAAATTTTAAATACTGACAAACTATCATCCAAAAGGCTTTACAATTTATATTCTCACTAATACTGTATAAAAGTCTCTATTTCTTTGCATCCTCACTAACGGTTAATATTAATTTATTTATGTTTTAATGAGCTCATAGATAAGTCTTATTATCTTCTACTTATCCTATCCATTTCTTTAGTCTAGATTTATTGAACACCTACTACTCCTATGTAACAAAGTCCTATGCACTGAGAATACAGCAGTGAACAAAACATACCAAAACCCCTGCCCTTATGAAACTCACATCTTAGTGGGGGAAGGCAGGAAATAAACAAATAAGTAAGGATAGCAGGGAAAGAAAGAGGGAGTTTGGGGACAGGCAGGTGCAGTTTTAAAGAAGGTGACCAGTGAAGGCCTTACTGAGAGCAGTATTTGAGTATTAATTTATGGAAATTCTTTTTATGCTTGGCACTTTAACCCGTTGTTAAATTTATACTGCGAATAACCTCTCCCAGACTCTTACTGGTCTTTTCCTGATTTTGTAAATCATTTTTCCATATGGAAGATTTTAATTTTTATTTATGTCAAAATTATCTATTCGTTAGAGTTTCTGCTTTTTATGTCAGTGCCAATTCTACTAGGCCAAACTACTGTGTTTGACTTATGCCAGCTTATTTTGTATTTTCTGTTCCAAATTTTTTTTTCTTTCTACTCAAGGATTCTAGATTGAAAATCCTGTTCCTTCAGAACTCCAAATCGGTTTTCCCAGTGTCACCTTGCATTCAGTGCTGTCAATGAGAAGTCTGATGACAATCTGAATCTTACTCCTTTGTGACTCATCAAGACTTTTTTCCTCTCTGGCAGCTCTTTGGAATTTTTTTTTTTACCCTTAGCGTTGTGAAATTTCAACATTATGTGTCTGGGTGTAAGTCTACTTCATTTATGCCGCTCAGCACTTGTTAAGTCTTTTAATATGAAAATTCTAAATTTTCCTTAAAGTCAATAAATTCCCTTTTTATTATTTCCTCAAATACATTCTTCCCTACATTCTCTGTTACTTTCACCGGTAACTTGAGATGAGTATTAGAACTTCTCGGTGTGTCTCGTATGTCTCTTGATTTTTCCTTTATATTTTCTATGGTTTTCCTTTTGGTAGTATGTTCTGAGAGAGTTTCTTAGATTGAACTTTCCTCTCTCATTCAGTTAACCCTATTCTTATTCAATCTACTAACTGGATTTTTACTTTGACACTACAGTTTTATTTCCAAGATTTTAACCCATTTTTTTTCCACAACAGCTAATTCTCAATCCTTGTAGGACAGTTCCCTTAAGCCTCTGAGAATACTGATGGTAATCTCTTCAAAGTCCCCCCCCACCCCGCCACCATCTGATCTGCAATCTTGTCTAGGGCACCTAAGCTTCCCTTTACTGCGTCTGGTGTCCATGTTCATGATATGTGCTTTCCTTTAATACAGACGATTCCTGGCTTTGATGCTCCCTTTTCCTTGTCTGGGGACCTGATTTCTGACAACCTCACCCTGTCTCTAGACATTCAAGAGAGTAGGACATAGGACATGCTGCTCCTTGGCTTCCCGTCCTGCAGTCTCTCACAGGATTAGTCCTGAGGTTGCCCACTGTGCAAATGACAGAAGGCTGCCCTCTCCTAAGTGTCACAATATACTGCTTTTCCTTGCACCAGATGCTTTTCACTGCCAGCCAGGAAGCACGGTACACAAGCGAATCTGTGACTTTGATGTGAGCCGCCCCCCACGGCTGGGCCCCAAGGCTGAGACCAATGTACCACTGGCTGTGTCTCAACACAGGTGTCCCAGGAAGGTGCCTGTGCACCAGTTTTTTTGGGAGCTGTCCCCATCCCTCTCCTGTATCTGAGAAGTAGGGTATCTAATGCCTTTGAATTTAGCGACCCCCTCCAATACTTCCACCATATCTTGGTTTGTGCTTTTCTCCACCCATCCAATTCCATCTTCCTATCTTTCAGAAGCTTCCCCAAAGAGTATGGCCATGACTCCGGTTTTCTAGAAAGGATACTGACTATTTGAAATCTGTGTGTGCAAGTTTCAGGATTTGGAGGAGGGATGGAATAGGGGCTTAGCTTGTCTTCTCAATTCAATCCTCATATTCACTTTTTAAAATTTAATTTTTTTAAGTTGAAGTATAGTTGATTTACAATGTTGTGTTAATTTCTGCTGTACAGCAAAGTGATTCAGTTTTATACACACACACACACACACACACATTCTTTTTTATATTCTTTTCCATTATGGTTTCTCACAGGGTATGGAATATAGTTCCCTGTGCTATAGCGTAGGACCTTGTTGTTCAGATTCACTTTTTAATTCAAATATTTCAAAAGATCCAAAAGTCTATTTGGTATGAGGACTGAATACTATAGTAAAAGTGATTCTTTTTAGGTTAATAAAAACTTAACAATGTAAAGGCCATAAATCTAAAAGTGTCTTAAGCTATAAAGTTTACTACAAAAAATAATAATTTAGAGGCCTGCTAGGCCTGGCTGAAAAATCATAGAATGAATTTATATTCACTAAGCACCATCACCCCATCCTGGAGACCTATTAAAATGAAGGTGGACATCATAATCTATCTTCTACATTTTCTGGATTTGGGTAATAAGACATTATCCTTAACAACTTCTCAGGCTACTAAGCCAAATAACTGGGTGTTTGTTCTTTGGTTTATGAAACGTGAGTAATGTGTCTGAGATTTTCATTTTTCATTTGTTATGCAGATATAGTACGAACTGGGTGGGTTCGTACTATTTTATATCTAATGTATAAAATACGTTAGAATGTATATTCAAGGGACACCCTGAATGGCTCTTACCAGGAACACAACTAAAATCACACAGAAAAAGGGTGGCAAAATAATATTGGAGACTTTCTGTCTCCTGATGATTTCCCAGTCCTGCTGAGGGACTGGAAGAAACACCTTGACTCATCAGGGGCCCACTGGTTACTGTGGGCGGAAGAACAAGAAGAGAAATGTGGAGAACCAGCTTCTGGGCCGCTTTAAGTGCAAGAGCAGAGTCCTCCCTGGAGAAAACACCACCTACCTGCCGAGAAAAGCCCTTCTCTGTGTTTCCCTGCCCGATGGTTATTTTTCGTAGAAATCGGTCATTTGTATCCATGACTGGAAAAGAAGAGAACAGAGCATCAACGAGCAGGGACTGGCTGCCCAGTGTGTGTCTGGCATTATTCTGGGTGTTGCAGAGGCAGCAGAGAGCAAGAGCTAAGGTTTGGCTTCCCTGAGCTGATGATCCCGTGGGAGGATCACAGAAAGGGGTCAAATAAACTAGGGATCACCCAGCTAGGAAACCAAGGAGGGGATATGACGGCGTGTGTCGGGAAGGGGTCTGGGGTGGGGTGCCGTTTTGAACAGGCAGTAAGGAAAAGCATTTCTGAAGGAGTGTCCTTTTTACACTGAAACCTGAGGCACAAGAAGAAGCCAATTAAGTCTCTCTGAAGGTTAAACACTGAACAAACATCTGACCCACCACTTCCAGGTATATATCCAATGGAACCGGAAGTGGTTATTGCATACCCATGATCACAGCAGCATTATTCACAGCAGCCAAGAGGTGGAGACAGCAAAGTGTCCGCTGACCAATGAATAGATAAACAAAATGTGGTATAGACACACAATGGAATGTTGTATAGCCATAAAATGAGTGAACGTTTGATATATTATGATACAACATAGGCGGACGTTGAAAACATTATGCATGATGAAATAAACCAGATACGGTATGATTCCACTTGTATGGGGGTCTTAGAATAGGCAAATTTATAGAGACAGAGAGTAGAATGGTGACTACCAGGGGCTGAGGGGAGGTGAGGACTTATTATTGAGGGAGTGTCGAGGATGATGAAAAGGTTTGGGGTGTAGTTAGCGGGGATGGTGTAGCCATCCCAAGCCTTGGCCTATATGCCATTCGTGGTATATATTTAATGCCATGAATTGCACACTTATGAATGACTAAGATGATATGCTATGTATATTTTACCATATAAAAAACCCCCAAATAAATAAAGTAGTATATGTGGGGGGAGAAGTCAATGATGATTCGAGTAAGTATCAATTCTCTTTACTCTCTTCACTGGCCTGTATGAACTGCACCGATTTACATTTTGTTTGTGAAAACCACATCTACCATGCCAGAAAGTAAAGCCAGAAGGACACAGACTTCACTAATAATTTATACTGCATCAAACAGCAAGCCGTCACTGACAACTTAGATCCAATTGACTAAATGTTTAATATGGCTCTGACCGAAACGGTGGCGGGAATTGTGTATTTGGGGACTACAAGCATCTGTAGGATGAAATTGTGAACGTTTTCTTCCACACACAAGGCACGGACAGACCTGCCAGCCTCGCCCGCCTCTGCTGCTCCCTGACTCGCCGCCGGCCTCTTTCTCTACATACAGTACTCTCCTCTCGGGACTTCCCTGGGGGCGCCGTGGTTAAGAATCTGCCTGCCAATGTAGGGGACACGGGTTCGATCCCTGGTCTGGGAAGATCCCACATGCCGCGGAGCAACTAAGCCCGGGGGCCGACACAACTACTGAGCCCACATGCCACAACTACTGAAGCCCGTGCGCCTAGAGCCCGTGCTCCGCAACAAGAGAAGCCACCGCAATGAGAAGCGTGCGCGCCACAACTAGAGAAAGCCCACACACAGCAACGAAGACCCAACGCAGCCAAAGAAAACTCCCAAAATCAAAAACAAACAAACCCTCTCCTTTCTCACACATACATATATACATTCATATTACCGCACACTCATACAGGCACCCAGGCAACCCTCCTCAAGCACACAGAAACCTCTCTATGACTTTAAGGCATAAGCAGAGGGCATACAGAGAACGGAATGCCTCTCACTATTACCACTAGCTAGTACTTTATTCCCAAGACCAATGGTGCAGAATCATATAAAGTAAAAATAATTCCTACTCTCATGTGTAGTATACACAGTCTTAATGTGATCTTTTTATTGGTATTTCAGCTGGTTTTTATTTAGCAAAGAAAACACAAACAAGAACCGCCCCCCCCAAAAGAAGCCTTAGTAAGATCCGCTATAATCAGTGGCATCGGAAGGCCACCTGTGCGTTTATCAGCACAGCCCCGGCAGAACAGGGCGTCTCACCAGGCTTTTGATGTCCACGGAAAGACGTGTGAGATGACAGTGATACATGAAAGAAATGTGAAGATCAAATTCTGATACACAAGAAAGGTGGATAACAGAAAGTAACGCTAAGTTAGTATGCGGAATTCCTGCCCTCTAAGTGACAGAGGTGAAGATGGAATGAGAAACATACTTATTCATTTCAGGGCTATTTACTGAGGGCCAATTTTGTGGCAGGTCCTGTGAGAGCTGTACAGGGATACAAAGATGGACAAGACATCATTCTCTGATGGAAGGCACTCACTGGCAAGGGGAGAGATGGAGAGTGCAGGTAGGCGTGGAGGGGGGACCCCGCAGAGGGGAGAGATCTGGTTTTTCACTCTTTGCCCTAGACGGTCCCTTTAGGACTACACCGCTCTGTTTTGAGGAGCATCCAGAGTGTTCCTAGTGGCTTGTTAAAACAACCAGCACCAGCTCAGGGACCGGGAAATACAGGGTAGGGCATCGAGGCTAGGCCCACTACTTTGGCTTCGGCAGAAGTGCACTGATTCCCTGCAAGGCTGTAGGGGACTGCTGGGAACTAGTAACTGGATGTCAGTTCCCTGGAGACTGAGGCTTCTTGGTCTTCGGTCTAAGGGCCTGTGAGGCCCCAGGGGTTCTGATACTCAGAAAAGCAGGGTTCACATCCTTCGAGGAACAATAAAATGACGTGATGTCCACTGTTTCTTCTGCTTATACTATGTGTTTCTGGAATACTCTATCGACTCCCAGTTCCACCCTGTTACCACGCACTTATGAGGCCTTCAAGCTAGTGACGGGAAGCATAGGAGAAAACAACCCCGAGTTAAATTTCTTACAAAGGATAAAAGGGAAGAGGCGAGCATTCAATATGCGACATCTATGGTCTCAGAAGAGTTTTTTAGCCCCATGTGGTCACTGAGTGTCCCCTCTGTAGTTATCAAATTATAAAAGCATCTAATCTCACCCAAAGGCCATACTCTTTCTAGCTCTAAGCCAATACTGTCTTTAAAAAAAAGAACAACAACAAAGAAACCTTACTTTTTATTTATTTATTTTTGCGGTGCGCGGGCCTCTCACTGCTGTGGCCTCTCCCGCCGCGGAGCACAGGCTCCAGACGCGCAGGCTCAGCGGCCATGGCTCATGGGCCCAGCCGCTCCGCGGCATGTGGGATCTTCCCGGACCGGGGCACGAACCCGTGTCCCCTGCATCGGCAGGCGGACTCCCAACCACAGCGCCACCAGGGAAGCCCCGAAAACTTACTATTAAATGACCTCAATCTATTTGATGGAGAGTCCTATTTCTTATATTAATGCATGGGAATAAGAGCCAAACTAGCTATCAAACGTCATTCCAAACTCCTCTGACCTAGGTGGCTTGTCTATAGCAATAATTAGCACTTTAGTGCCCTAAACAATAATACAATTCTAGTATTTATCTGGAGTAATTTTTTAACGTTATCACTCGCATTAAAAGTGATTTGCAACTATGGTATGCTTCAGTCCTTTCATGCTTCTTGGGGAGAAAGCAATCTGCAAGGTGGCCCTGGGTACATATGAGGGATTGTGTAGCCTTTCTTTTTCTAAGACCCACTTAGAAATGGGTGGCCCCATTTCTGGTGGTTGCCTCAGCTGGAGCCACAATGCAGATGCGGAAGAGCGCCCCTTGTGTAAAAATTCCTTTTTTAGCATATCCCCATGCTAGGTTTAAAATACACTGATTTCCAGGGCTTCCCTGGTGGTACAGTGGTTAAGAATCTGCCTGCCAATGCAGGGGACACGGGTTCGATCCCTGGTCTAGGAATATCCCACATGCCTCAGAGCAACTAAGCCTGTGCACCACACCACTGAGCCTGCACTCTAGAGACTGTGAGCCACAACTACTGAAGCCCGTGCGCCTAGAGCCCATGCTCCGCAACAAGAGAAGCCACCGCGATGAGAAGCCGACACACCACAATGAAGAGTAGCCCCTGCTCGCTGCAACTAGAGAAAGCCTGCGCGCAGCAACGAAGACCCAATGCAGACAAAAATAAATAAATTAAACAAATTAATTAAAAAAAAAATACCGATTTCCACCTGCATTAATTTTTTGTTCACAAAAATGTTTTAAAGAGTAACACAAACTCACAAATGCCTTGAAAAAGCTGACTATGCATTTCAGATATAATGGTATAGTAATAATTAATCCTAGTTATAAAAAAAAAGTTAGGACTTCCCTGGTGGCGCAGTGGTTAAGAGTCCACCTGCCAATGCAGGGGACACCGGTTCGAGCCCTGCTCCAGGAAGATCCCACATGACGCGGAGCAACGAAGTCCGTGCGCCGCAACTACTTAGCCTGTGGTCTACTGTCCACGAGCCACAACTACTGAGCCGGCATGCCTAGAGCCTGTGCTCCGCAACAAGAGAAGCCACCGCAACTACAAGCTCGTAAGAAACCGCAACAAACAGTAGCCCCTGCTCGCTGCAACTAGAGAAAGCCCCTGCACAGAAATGAAGACCCAATGCAGCCAAAAAAAAAAAAAGGTAGTAGACTTCCCAATAAAATGCTGAACATATTCATATCGGTAATTAAAAATGATGTTGGGGGCTTCCCAGGCGGCGCAGTGGTTGAGAGTCCGCCTGCCGACGCAGGGGACACGGGGTTCGTGCCCCGGTCCAGGAAGATCCCACATGCCGTGGAGCGGCTGAGCCCGTGAGCCTTGGCCACTGAGCCTGCACGTCTGGAGCCTGTGCTCCGCAACGGGAGAGGCCACGACAGTGAGAGGCCCGCGTACCACACACACAAAAAAAAAAGATCAGAGCAGAAACAAATGAAATAGAAACAAAGAAAACAATAGCAAGGATCAATAAAACTAAAAGCTGGTTCTTTGAGAAAATAAACAAAATTAATAAACCATTAGCCAGACTCATCAAGAAAAAGAGGGAGAGGACTCAAGTCAATAAAATTAGACATGAAAAAGAAGTTACAAAGACACCGCAGAAATACAAAGCATCCTAAGAGACTGCTACCAGCAACTCTATGCCAATAAAATGGACAACCTGGAAGAAATGGACAAATTCTTAGAAAGGTATAACCTCTCCAGACTGAACCAGGAAGAAATAGAAAATATGAACAGACCAATCACAAGTAATGAAACTGAAACTGTGATTAAAAATCTTCCAACAAACAAAAGTCCAGGACCAGGTGGCTTCACAGGTGAATTCTATCAAACATTTAGAGAAGAACTAAACACCCATCCTTCTCAAACTCTTCCAAAAATTGCAGAGGAAAGAACACTCCCAAACTCATTCTATGAGGTCACCATCACCCTGATACCAAAACCAGACAAAGATACTACAAAAACAGAAAATTAGAGACCAATATCACTGATGAATAGAGATGCAAAAATCCTCAACAAAATACTAGCAAACAGAATCCAACAACACATTAAAAGGATCATACACCATGATCAAGTGGGATTTATCCCAGGGATAAAAGGATTCTTCAATATACACAAATCAAGGTGATACACCATACTAACAAATTGAAGAATAAAAAGCATAGGATCATCTCAATAGATGCAGAAAAAGCTTTTGACAAAATTCAACACCCACTTATGATAAAAACTCTCCAGAAAGTGGGCACAAAGGGAATTTACCTCGACATAATAAAGGCCACATATGACAAACCCACAGCAAACATCATTCTCAATGGTGAAAAACTGAAAGCATTTCCTGTAAGATCAGGAACAAGACAAGGATGTCCACTCTCACCACTATTATTCAACATAGTTTTGGAAGTCCTAGCCATGGCAATCAGAGAAGAAAAAGAAATAAAAGGAATCCAAACTGGAAAAGAAGAAGTAAAACTGTCACTGTTTGCAGGTGACATGATACTATACATAGAGAATCCTAAAGATGGCATCAGAAAACTATTAGAGCTAATCAATGAATTTGGTAAAGTTGCAGGATACAAAATTAATGCATAGAAATCTCTTGCATTCCTATACACTAATGATGAAAAATCTGAAAGAGAAATTAAGGAAACACTCCCATTTACCATTGCAACAAAAAGAATAAAATACCTAGGAAAAAACCTACCTAGGGAGACAATAGACCTGTATGCAGAAAACTATAAGACACTGATGAAAGAAATTAAAGATGACACAAACAGATGGAGAGATATACCATGTTCTTGGATTGGAAGAATCAATATTGTGAAAATGACTCTACTACCCAAAGCAATTTACATAGTCAATGCAATCCCTATCAAATTACCAATGGCATTTTTTACAGAACTAGAAGAAAAAATCTTAAAATTTGTATGGAGACACAAAAGACCCCGAATAGCCAAAGCAGTCTTGAGGGAAAAAAACAGAGCTGGAGGAATCAGACTCGCTGATGTCAGACTATACTACAAAGCTACAGTAATCAAGACAATATGGTACTGGCACAAAAACAGAAACACAGATCAATGGAACAAGATAAAAGCCCAGAGAGAAACCCATGCACCTATGGTCAACTAATCTATGACAAAGGAGGCAAGGATATACAATGGAGAAAAGAAAGTCTCTTCAATAAGTGATGCTGGGAAAACTGGACAGCTACATGTGAAAGAATGAAATTAGAACACTCCCTAACACCATACAAAAAAATAAACTCAAAATGGATTAGAGACCTAAATGTAAGTCCTGAAAGTATAAACCTCTTAGAGGAAAACATAGGAAGAACACTCTTTGACATAAATCACAACAAGATCTTTTTTGATCCACCTCCCAGAGTAATGGAAATAAAAACAAAAATAAACAAATGAGACCTAATGAAACTTCAAAGCTTTTGCACAGCAAAGGAAACCATAAAGAAGACGAAAAGACAACCCTCAGAATGGGAGAGAATATTTGCAAATGAATCAATGGACAAAGGATTAATCTCCAAAATATATAAACAGCTCATGCAGCTCAATATTAAAGAAACACACAACCCAATCCAAAAATGGGCAGAAGACCTAAATAGACATTTCTCCAAAGACATACAGATGGCCAAGAAGCACATGAAAAGCTGCTCAACATCACTAATTATTAGAGAAATGCAAATCAAAACTACAATGAGGTATCCCCTCACACCAGTTAGAATGGGCATCATCAGAAAATCTACAAACAACAAATGCTGGAGAGGGTGTGGAGAAAAGGGAACCCTCTTGCACTGTTGGTGGGAATGTAAATTGATACAGTCACTATGGAGAACAGTATGGAGGTTCCTTAAAAAACTAAAAATTAATTACCATATGACCCAGCAATCCCAGTACTGGGCACATACACAGAGAAAACCATAATTCAAAAAGACACATGCACCCTAATGTTCATTGCAGCACTATTTACAACAGCCAGGTCATGGAAGCAACCTAAATGCCCATCGACAGACGAATGGATAAAGAAGATGTGGTACATATATACAATGGAATATTACTCAGCCATAAAAAGGAACCAAATTGGGTCATTTATAGAGACGTGGATGGATCTAGAGACTTTCATACAGAGTGAAGTAAGCCAGAAAGGGAAAAACAAATATCGTATATTAACACGTATATGTGGAACCTAGAAAAATGGTACAGATGAACCGGTTTGCAGGGCAGAAATTGAGACACAGATGTAGAGAACAAACGTATGGACACCAAGTGGGGAAAGCAGCGGTGGGTGGGGATGGTGGTGTGATGAACTGGGCGATGGGGATTGACATGTGTACACTGATGTGTATAAAACTGATGACTAATAAGGACCTACTGTATAAAAAAATAAATAAAATTTAAAAATTCAAAAAAAAAGTTGGAAAAAATCTTATCATAGTTGGTACTAATGTAAAAGCAGCTGTGATTTAATTCTAAAAAAGAAAAAAAAAAAAAAGGAATACACACCATCTAACTCTTCGGTAGGTTTTATCAAGTGCTATTACCACATGCCTGTAATTATGTATTACCGCCTCCATTTCCATCTCCAAGAGACTGGGGCCCAGAACAGGTATGTGACTCGCTGAGGGGGAGACACCCACTCAACGCTCCTGACCCCACATTTAGTGCTTTTCCCCACTATCCCACCCTTATGGAGGGCAGTGTGGGAGAAGTGAGGGGTGTCACAGCCAAGAGGAAAAGAGGGAGGTCAGGACAGACGTCCCTCTGCCCCACGTTTGAAGTGCTGAAGGGGATTCTAGTAAGTGGCTGGAAGCAAGAGACTCAGAGAAAATATTCTGCACTGAAAATACAAATTTCTAACCTGCTTAGAGCTAGTGGTGAGGAAGACAGTAAGAAATCAGAATGGCGGGTAGAGAGGGCAGCAGGACAATTAAGGGGAGAGACACAGACATTTTTACCCCCAAAGAGAATACAGGAGGCCAGAGATGAGACAGGAGAAAAGTAATTTTCCTCGGAAATCTGGAAGAGATGGGGTGAATGGGATGAGCTAAGGGTACAGCTTTTTCTCCTAAATAGGAGGCAAGGATGAGAGAAGAGGCTGGTAAAATAAGTGACGGAAATAAATGGAGGGATTATGTAACGCGAGCTAGGAAGACAGTGGGAAGAAATACAATTGTGCATTTATGCAGAGCTCCAATTGGAAGACATGTCACCCTCCCCATCTAGCCACCAGCACCTACCTCTCTGCCACGTGATGGTGGAGGGGTCAATGTCAAGACGGGCAAATTTCCTCATTTCCTCTTCTGTCAGAGCGCTCGGATCAGTCTTATTTATTCCCAGTTTCTAATGATTAAGAAGAACAAAATATGTTTTAGAAGGAATAAAAAGCAAGATGTAACCAAATTATCCCTCTACTTTTACCTTCTCCATGACTAGTAAAGCCTTTTTAAAAACTAAGCTGAACTTCAAGTAAATGGTAGGTTAGTCCAACTCATAAATGAATGGATCCAAACACCTCCTAAAATGGGAGACATTCTTTGTGTACTGTCACCTGTTATTCGAAGGGTGTATTTGTAATAATACACCCTTCGAATAACAGGTGACAGTACACAAAGAATAAGTGCCGTATTGTCTGTCATAGCCTAAGGCTCTCTACATAGTCACCACATGCCGTGCACAGAAGGGGCATAAAACTTCCATCTAACTGATGCTCCAGTTCACTAGTTGTTCTTTTCAGATACAAATACCAATAATTTTTTTTTAACAATTTCCTCTTTTACTTATTTATTTTATTTTTATTTTTGGCTGCGTTGGGTCTTCGTTGCTACACGCAGGCTTTCTCTAGTTGTGACGAGCGGGGGCTACTCTTCGTTGCAGTGCACGGGCTTCTCACTGCGGTGGCTTCTCTTGTTGTGGAGCGTGGGCTCTAGGCATGTGGGCTTCAGTAGTTGTGGCACACGGGCTCAGTAGTTGTGGCTCGCAGGCTCTAGAGTGCACGCTCAGTAGTTGTGGCTTGCGGGCTCTAGAGCGCAGGCCCAGTTGTTGTGGCACACGGGCTTCGTTGCTCCGAGGCATGTGGGATCTTCCCGAACCAGGGATCGAACCCGTATCCCCTGCACTGGCAGGCAGATTCGTAACCGCTGCGCCACCAGGGAAGTCCTTACCAATAATTTAAGTAACGATTATGTCTACGTTTTCAAGTTATTTCTAATTCCACAAGAAAAAAAATTAAAACTTTTAAAGCATCTCTTTCTATAAAGAAAACACTCTAACAAAGTGGTTTTTGATAAGGTATAAGAAAAGAATCTGGGAAGCAAACTATAAACATTGGAGATGCTGAGGATACCATATTGTGCGTTATTCTCAACAAACTGAACTTGGTTCAGTAAGAAGCCAGGGGATGAATTTTTTAAACCAATTCTCACCAACCAGTGGCTGTAGATTATACCATTAAAGTTATTTTTTAGTCTGAAAAAAAGCAAAGGGAAAATCTATGTGATAGTAGGGCATTAAGTAGCAAACAGCACTAGAAAATGGTAAAATGGATAAGAATTAAGAGCACATCCACAAATACAATCTTAGAATCTTGCTACAATAAAAACTGAAATAGATGAATTTTCAAAGTCTTTCTTAGAAAATTAAGAACTGTCATGAAAAGGAAGACTCTTGGCAATCTTCATTTGTTAGTTGACCAGAGTTCTCAGCAGAGTGGTGCTCTCGTTTTATAGATGAAGAAGCTGACATCTATAAGGGTGAACTAATTTGTCCACCTGCTTTTTGGTGCAGGATCAAGGCCTCAGGCATCAGTTCTGGGCAATCTCTGTTACATTGTTCTGTCTATTTAGAGTTCAATGTCCAAAAAAAGCATCTGAAAACCAAAATCAAATCAAGTTCAAAATTTCTGGTTCTGACAATTTTTCTGATTTGTTTCCAGGGTATTTTCTTTTTAAAGAACCATTAACTAGAAACTTACTTTCAGCCGAGCAAGTTGAATTTTTGAAAATTCTCTAACACCATTCACTGAAGCAACCAGTCGATTATACAGAGCCTAGAAACGCAAAATAAAAACAAAACTCACAAAAGTTTAAGGGCCAACCATGAACTTGGACAATTTACAGAATATGGCAAAGTTCATTACATTTATAACCAAACTGTTTAGATTACAGACCCTATTAAAATTCTTGGTTAATGTAAACAATTTAGACTGAAGTTCTGTCATTTTAATAAATTCGACTAGATCTGCAATAATGCATATTGTAAAGAGTTTGTATGAAAATACATTTCTTGATCTACAGCCTTATAACTACCAAATTAAAATTTATCTCTATATTTATTTTTGGCTTCAAAAACTCACTAGGGAGTTAGTTTCATTGGAGGATGTTAGGACCTTTGTAAAATGTGTCAGAAATTCCCACTTTTATCCATGTCCTATGTCTATGAGGAATTAGCATCTAGTAGTCTGTCCCCTTCAGGTGTGTGATTTACCTCTCAGACCCTACAGCCCTGAGGCCCAAAAAGGGGGTCTGACCTGTTTAGCAGGGCATCTAGGATAGCTGCCTGTAACATCAGAATCTTAAAAAGATATCTCTCCAACCCCCTTAGCAGAGACCAGAGATTACACCCATGGGCAAAACTAAGAGAACCTGTCTACCAATTACCTTTAAAACTAAAGGTTCGTCTTGAAGACAATTTGGCTTAAAAAGAGCAACTAGCATAATTCTCCCAATAACCTGATAGTGGTCATAAACTAATTTGAGAACCTTACCAAAGTAAAGATCCTCTCCTTAAGAAATAAGGACATATATACAATTCACAACATTTTGAATAGAATTTCAGAGAACTTTCGGACTCCAAAAGTTTTTTCATGAATTCCTTAATCCAGAAATCCCAGGATAAGATGCCCAAAATGGCCTTTTGGGCATCTTAAAACAAGGAGCCTTTCTCACCTTATCTGTTTGAGTATTTTCATGCAAAATCCTTGTGTCGATAGCAGCGGCCAACAAGTTATTAGCAGCGGTGATGGCATGGATGTCCCCAGTCAGGTGAAGGTTGAACTATAAAATGAAACGAAAATATCTTTCTACTTGTTTCAAACAACCATTGCAGTACTGAAGGACTTTCCAAATAAACAAAATATTCTGCTAATGACATACCCTTACAATGCTTAGGATATGTTTTATATAGCCTGAATCCGAAGATCAGAAAATGTCAGTCTTCCACTTGACAACAAAGAATACTTGCACAGACTTTCTATTGCAAATTCTTCCTTTCTCAGGTTAAGAGTGAAACAATTCTGATGGACTTAATGATTGGGTTCCTTATTTTGGTTTTCTTTTTTCACGTACTTTTATGCACTGTTTTATAATTAAGAAAATAGTACCATATCAAATGTACTTTGGAATAAGGCAGGGAATAAAACACACAGTAGCCATAGAACAATATAGAATGTGACAGCCTGAGAAATAGAAAAAAAGTATCACCCTCACAACTGTCTATTTCGTTATTTTTCTTCTAATCTTACGCGCACACGATTGTTATCTGTAGAATCAGCATGTTTGTAATCTGCTAACTTTTTCAGATAGTTCTAACTACCTTGTCCCTCAGTTTGGCCCAACCTGGGCCATGCAGGTGATGCCATATGACAGCAGGTCAGCAGCGCCCTTTCAATACTCCCCAGGCCACGTTCCTTACACTCCATCCCCAACCTGGCCCCCTGGCTCTGGAGCTTCCTGGCTTGTGACTGTTACTCATCCTCCTGCAGATGAGGCCTGGGGCTATTTTTCTCAGCCAAGCCTTGACTATGCTTTCTCACTCCCACTCCCTTCTCACTCCCACCCCCAACATTTGAAGATTGTCCAAAATTTCCCTCTAGCTTCCATCATGCTCACATCCCTGTGGGTAAAAAGAAAACCCTTTCCTATTCCTTCAACAAAATCACCAAATATTTCCTAGTGAGCACCTCTTACATGCTGGGCACACTGCTAAGTGCTGGGGCCCAGGGGGTCTAACTCCTCACGGCCGATGGGACCACACGGAGGTAAACACAGAGCAGGAGGGGATCCGTGGGATGGAACAGAACCTCGACGGAGCAGGTACCATTTGAAATGTGAGCTGAGCAGGGAAGGCAGGAAAGGAAGGGAAGAACATTCCAGACTTGGAACCAAGAGAAAACAGGGCAAGGAGTTTGACAGGGTGGAGACAGGGAGGGTGGCATGGGAACCCGAGACACTGGGGGTGGAGAGATGGCCGGAGCGTGACTGAGTAACTGCTGAAATGCAGGCAACAGAAAAGGACATGGGCTTTAGGAAGACTTCTCAGGACCTGAACCAAGAGGCTCATGTGGAGAGTGGAACTGATGGGACCTGGTCACTGGTTAAATCCAGGGGACAAGGAAGTGTTAATACAGAGTGTAGAAACTGGTCTTGTAAAAATAAGAATTGACACCATTGGCCTATTTGGACCATTTTTTTTTTTGGAACTATGGTTGTCCCTCAGTATCCATGGGGAATTGGTTTCAGGACCCCGTAGACAGCAAAATCCACAGATCCTCAAAGTCCCTTATGTAAAATAGTGTAGTATTTGCATATAACATACTCTCATCCCCTGGTGTAATCTAAATGATCGCTAGACTACTTATAATACTCAATACAATGTAAACGTTACGAAAACAGTTACCAGCGTGCATTAATTCAAGTTTTGCTTTTTGGAACTTTCTGGAAAACTTTTTTTTCCCGAGTATTTTCACGCTGCAGTTGGTCAAAACCATGGATGTGGAACCTGTGGATACAGATGAGCGGCTGGATTTGATTCTGGAGTCTCAGCTCAGAGAGTGAAGAGTCCAGGCCTTCCTGAATTCAGCAGTATAACCGGTGACTGATGGAGATACAGCTCTGCATCCTCTCATCCAGAACCCTTGAGGTGGGTTTTGGGATTCAGAATTTTTTGGAATGTAGAAAGGTAGTGTGATGGACACATAATTTAATTGTAAAACATTCCAAGCAGGGTCCAGGTCAGCATCCATTAATCAAAAATAATATTTCTGCAGCAAAATATATGAATATTTACACCTAGTGGCACAGACAAAATCCGTAAGTAGCTCATTAACAGTAAATGTCAGGTTTTCCCCCAAATGGGTCAGGCAAACATTTCTGGTTTTCAGAGCCTTCAGAACTTTGGGATCGAGGATAAAGTACTGTGGGCCTGTATTTACAGAAGCACAGAGAAAAGGTTCCAGGAGGGAAAAACAGTGACACAAGACACGTGTCTCTTGGAATCTTACCTCTTCCATAGGGATGACCTGGGCGTATCCACCACCTGCAGCTCCTCCTAAACAACAGAGCAGGTACCATTTGAAATGAGGTGCCAAGTACAGGAGCCCCAGGGACACAGCTCCCCAAGCCCAACAGGGAGGCACGTACCCGCAAGATGTAATAAAAAGAGGCAGTGAGAAATAATACGTCTCAGGCAAAGCAGAACAGAAGGTGAAGAAAGTTCACCCTACGTCCCACTATATAATTTAAGGACTTTGGTCTCTTTGTTTAAAAGGGGGGTAAGCAGAATACAGCAAACGGCATTACAGCGAACATGAGATTCTGTCGTTAATTTATTATTAGATCTATGTGGCTATGCTTCACCTAAACCGCACGTGCATTTAAAGTACCAAAAACTTTCCTAAATAAAATCTACCTGATCAACAGACTTACACATTACAGACTCCTGTCAGTTTATTTTAGTTACTAGTATATATGATTTATCATGCTGCTAATCCCTCAAAATAGTAAAGTTACGACATTAAAAAGACTTCTCTATCCTAAAACAATGATACCTTCTGTGTCCACATCATTTTACAGTTGACCTTATTTTTATACACTATTTTGCCTCACGATAATCTGGTAAGCCTAGTACTATATACCTTTTACACTTTTACACATGCGGCTCAGAGAAGTTATGACTGGCTAAAGGTCACAGAGCGGTAAGAGACACAGCCGCAAATAAAACCCCAGGCTTCTTGTCCACATCTAGTGTTCACTGCACTACATAATGTATGACATTCTAACAGTACTTAAAGTTAGGAGTTGTTAATATTTGTAACAGTAATATAAATATAATGCTGCTAAAAACCACAAAGTACCGAGAACAAGCAGTAATTGTAGCAGTAAAGGCTATTATAAAGTGAAGAATGATTCATGATAAATCCATGAAGCAAGACTAGTGACTGTGGAGGTGCCAGATCGCAGCCCAACCACAGCCACAGAGGAAGTTCATCGCATCTCCCGGTCCACAGCCAGTTTCCAGAGCTCCTTGGGGCCCACACAGCAACTCCAATGACATGAGGCTTGGGGCTGACCTAAGGGATCTCTTAACGGTTTGGATGGAAAGACCTTTTAGCTTGGCTGGGATGACAAAACACCAATATAAACAGCTGAGTTTCAAAACCGCTCGGCAAAGAAGGTACTGATGAAATGGAAGGCTTTCTGCTCAAGGCTGGAGTCCCGAGCAAGAGCCCAACCGTCGCTCAAGGGAAGCAAGGGAATCGGCTTCCTGAGGGGCTCCGCTGAGACCTCCCCCCTGAAGCTCTCTCTGTGGGAGGATCATGCTGCGGCGACCTCCTGAATGTGCAGGGAGGAGGGGGAGGGGGGGAGGGCTGCGGGAGTGCATGTAGAGATGAAATGTATCAGTTCCTCTAGTAAGTTGTAACTCCACGATTGTTGGTGATAAATTTTGCCCTGAAAAACATACTAGTTGTTAAATAAACTACCTTTCACTCCAAAAGTCGGTCCTTGAGAAGGCTGCCTCAGACAGGCAAAGGAGTTGATGTTCAGGTGCGCAGTCAATGCCTGCACGAGCCCAATTGTAACTGTACTTTTCCCTTCTCCCAGAGGGGTGGGTGTGATCCTGGTGTGGGGGAAAAGGAATAGTAAATTTAATATTTTCTAGACAACCTATGCACAGTCAATCTATGGTACAAGAACCAACTCGGAGGAGACTGAGAGAGACCAGGCCACTCCAGAATCACTGAACCATTCAACTTCCTTGGATCTTTTTATGGTCTACCCACATCACAAAAGTCCGTGCTTAAGCTAAAATCAAGATATAGACATATCTTTACCAAGAGTGCCAAGAAAGAAAAGTTAATTCAGCAGTAGTGCCAATAACACTATCAACTTCAAGAAACGGCAAAGGATTATTCATCAAAACGATTTAAATAATTAAGCGGATGTCACTTTCTTGCTGATGGATAATTTGGCATTTGTTCTTCCAGGGCCATTTACCGAGGGCATTAAGTGGGCACGAGGCCTAAGTCAACGGTCCATGGGTGGTGAGGCATGGCCAGACTCTCATTTTGGAAGGGATTCTAATGTCCCCATTCATCCATCTCCTTCTAGATATCAGTGTCGGGGCTTGTCCAGCCATGTTTAAACACAAGCTGTGCTGGAGGCTCATTACCTCCAGGGTGGCCCATTCATTTCCTGATAGCTTTTACAGTTAGACAAGTTCTTTGTCCTAAAGAGGAGATATCTGCATTCCTGTAGCTTCCTACAGACACACTCAGCCTCTCCCTTCCCATACAACCACCCTTCCAGTATTGGGAAGGAGTAAGTCCGCAGCTCCTAAGCACACTCAGGAGGTGAAGTCTGCTCTGGGAGCTCACTGTTGAGCACACACCCTACAAAGCCAAGCATCAGAGGCTCACAACATCAAAGAATTAAGTAATGGGACAGGCGTATATTACATTCTCAAGTAAAGACCCATGAAATTGTTCCTTGGCATATCCTAACCACTGTTACAAGTTTAAAAACTTCTTTTGCCTTACAATTTAGTCTTCTGTGGGTTAGATGCTGTGAGCCAGATTGTCTAGGACGTTCAACCAAAACAAAACTGATGACAGAGTTTTCTGACCCATAAAACCCAGCGATGTGACCACAAAGAAGCAATACAACTGTCTCCGTCCACCACAGCAATACAATCAATCACTCTTTCAGCAAATATTTCTTAAGTACCACTGTGTCCAGGTAACTAGACCCCGGGGACACAGTGACGACCACACTGGACTCCACAGAGCTTATGGCCGATGGGAGACGTGGAGAGATCAATGAGCAGTTACAATGAATGTGAGAAACGCTGAGACAGAGGAAACAGGGCAATTACACTATATTATGAGAGCACATAGGACGATCCAAGTAGACTTGGGACAAGCAGGGAAGGCTTCCTGGTGGAAGTAACATCTAAGCCAGATAAAAGTGAGGGTGGGTTTGGGGTAGTTAATATGCTAGGTTCTGTGCTTTATATTTGTTGGGTTAATCTTCATTTGATAAACGAGGAAGCTAAGGCACAGGAATTTTAAGTATCCTGCCCAAGGCCACACAATTAGTAAGCAGTAGAGCTGGAAATTAAACCCAGGCAAGTCATCTGACTTCACTAGGTTATTTCTATGGATGGAAATCATTATCGATAATGAGTAATTTAAAGCATGGGAATGGAGACGATCAGCCAGTGGAGGGAACAGAGTACAAAAGGGATAAAGACAGAATTGTTAAGAACATGGTCTCTTAGGGAGTAGTTAGAAGAGAGCAAAGGGAAACTAAGAAGGAGCAGTATTAAGTTCGGGAAACCCTGACAGGAGGCAGAGGTGTGACAGGGGAATCTTCGAGGCAGCCATGGAAGCGTCCCCAGACTCAAATGCAGTCCAGTGAAAAGCGGTCACTGGATGTAGCAACAAGGAGGCCACTGGCAGGGAGCTAGCGATCCCACTGGAATGCTCCTCGGTGACGTACACTTCCAACCGAGAGCCACAGGCATCACGATCTTACGTAAAGAAAATGCAGGTCAGATGTAGGGTGGATTAAGTACTGTACTGGTATTTACTTCTTGCAAAGGAAGAGAGGCTTTACTTAAATGTGTCACATGAAGGATTAGATTTTCATCCCTAAGGATATGCTCACAATGCTGCTGGCGAGAGCCAAAAGCAGACACGCCCAGAGATGACCTCCCAAAAACTTCAGCTAAGCGTCCAGCTCTTAATGAGAAACACAGGACTGCTGAGCATTCTGCCAACTGATACAATTCAGGAAAATCAGAAAGTAGGAAGTATTTACGGGGAGCAATCAAAGGAGAGCTACCAAAAAAATTTTATTTCACCTCAATTCCTACATTTGGCAACAAAATTTGGCTTAATTGTCATCTCACGATCCTTAGCTCACATTCCAAACTATCAAGTTGACTGAGGAAAGAATAAGCACCATGTTAACCTAATTTCTTTTTCTGTAAGAGCCTGGAGTTTCTGGAAATGGAACTGGGGGTTCTGCTCATTATCGTCCACATCTTCTCCTAGGATATTTATCTGCTCCCTCCAACTTCCCACAGGACTCATTTCGTGCTTATTATCTAACTTTTCAGGGGGCATTAGGACTACAAGCTTGCTGAGGTGAAAGACTATTTCCATTGCGTTTCTGTCACATGTCCAGGCATAGATGAGCAAAAAACATTAGAAAAAGAAATGACACCTTTTCTAAGACAAATATTATTCACTGTCAACTACAGTAAAAATGAATTGAACGAGTTGGAGATCTCCCAGACATCTCCAACTGAATGATAAGACCCAGGTCCACTCAACGACCAGCAAGCTACAGTGCTGGACACCCTATGCCAAACAACTAGCAAGACAGGAACACAACCTTACCCATTAGCAGAGAAGCTGCCTAAAATCATAATAAGGTCACAGTCACCCTAAAACACACCAACGGACATGGTCCTGCCCAGCAGAAAGACAAGATCCAGCCTCATCCACCAGAACACAGGCACCAGCCTACACAACCCACTGAACCAAACTTAGCCACTGGGGGCATGCACCAAAAACAATGGAAACTACAAACCTGCAGCCTGTGAAAAGAAGACCCCAAACACAGTAAGTTAAGCAAAATGAGAAAACAGAGGAATGCACAGCAGATGAAGGAGCAAGGTAAAAACCCACCAGACCAAACAAATCAAGAGGAAATAGGGAGTCTACCTGAAAAAGAAATCAGAGTAAGGATAGTAAAGATGATCCAAAATCTTGGAAATAGAATGGAGAAAATATAAGAAATGTTTAACAAGGACCTAGAAGAACTAAAGAGCAAACAAACAATGATGAACAACACAATAAATGAAATTAAAAATTCTCTACAAGGAATCAATAGCAGAATAACTGAGGCAGAAGAACGGATAAGTGACCTGGAAGATAAAATAGTGGAAATAACTACCTCAGAGCAGAATAAAGAAAAAAGAATGAAAAGAACTGAGGACAGTCTCAAGAGACCTTTGGGACAACATTAAATACACCAACATGAGAATTATAGGGGTCCCAGAAGAAGAAGAGAAAAAGAAAGGGTCTAAGAAAATATTTGAAGACATTATAATTGAAAACTTCCCTAATATGGAAAAGGAAATAGTCAACCAAGTACAGGAAGCACAGAGAGTCCCATACAGGATAACTCCAAGAAGAAACACGCCAAGACACATATTAATCAAATTATCAAATATTAAATGAAAAGAAAACATATTAAAAGCAGCAAGGGAAAAACAACAAATAATACACAAGGGAATCCCCATAAGATTAACAGCTGATCTTTCAGCAGAAATTCTGCAAGCCAGAAGGAAGTGGCAGGACATATTTAAAGTGCTGAAAGGTTAAAACCTACAACCAAGATTACTCTACCCAGCAAGGATCTCATTCAGATTAGACGGAGAACGTAAAACCTTTACAGACAAGCAAAAGCTAAGAGAATTCAGCACCGCTAAACCAGCTTTACAACAAATGCTAAAGGAACTTCTCTAGGAAGGAAACACAGGAGAAGGAAAACACCTACAAAAACAAACCCAAAACAATTAACAAAATGGTAACAGGAATGTACATATCGATAACTACCTTAAATGTAAATAGATTAACTGCTCCAACCAAAAGACAGACTGGCTGAATGGATACAAAAACAACACGCATAGATATGCTGTCTAAAAGAGGACCCACTTCAGACCTAGGGACACATACAGACTGAAAGTGAGGGGCTGGAAAAAGATATTCCATGCAAATGGAAATCAAAACAAGCTGGAGTAGCAATTCTCATATCAGACAAAATAGACTATAAAATAAAGACTGTTACAACAGACAAAGAAGGACACTACATAATGATCAAGGGATCAATCCTAGAAGAAGATATAACAATTGTAAATAATAATGCACCCAACATAGGGGCGCCTCAATACATAACGCAAATGCTAACAGCCATAAAAGGGGAAATCGACAGTAACACAATCATAGTACGGGACTTTAACACCCCACTTTCACCAATGGACAGATCATCCAAAATGAAAATAGATAAGGAAACACAAGCTTTAAATGATACATTAAACAAGATGGACTTAATTGATATTTATAGGACACTCCATCCAAAAACAAGAGTACACATTCTTCTCAAGTGCTCATGGAACATTCTCCAGGATAAATCATATCTTGGGTCACAAATCAAGCCTTGGTAAATTTAAGAAAATTGAAATCGCATCAAGTTTCTTTTCTGACCACAGTGCTATGAGAGTAGATATCAATTACAGGAAAAGATCTGTAAAAACTACAAACACATGGAGGCTAAACAATACACTACTAAATAACCAAGAGATCACTGAAGGAATCAAAGAGGAAATCAAAAAGTGCCTAGAAACAAATGACATGAAAACACAATGACCCAAAACCTATGGGACGCAGCAAAAGCAGTTCTAAGAGGGAAGTCTATAGCAATACAATCCTACCTCAAGAAACAAGAAACATCTCAAATAAACAACCTAACCTTACACCTAAAGCAATTAGAGAAAGAAGAACAAAAAACCCCCAAAGTTAGCAGAAGGAAAGAAATCATAAAGATCAG